CAATAATATTTTCTTAAACTGTAAATGTAAAAAAAAAAAACTATAACACAGGGCAAATTAAACAACACTAACATCACTTGGCTGTGCTCTTTATTAGAAACAATACGTTTTTTTTGGCAGTTTGAATGAAATTTTAAATTATCTTCAATCTGTTTCTTATTTAACTACAGAATTTAGTATATATTTTAGTTTTTGAAAGAACAAGAGATAGTGAATGGTAATGTAAAATTAGGCTGAATTTTGAAGTAAAAATAAACAATTGTATATTGAAACATTTATTACTAGAATATTTATTATAATTATTCAAGGATAAAAGTGAAAAATGTGTTTTCACATTAATGTTGGTCATATTCATTGATGAAAATATTAATGTTTCTGATGCTCACGATAGTAAAGTACTCACGATAGTAAAATAAATACAAAAAACTGCTGATTTTTTAATTTTAATTTTCCATTTTATAAAACTGAAGCTTTTTCATTTCAAATTATACTTGAAAATTACATTAGTTGTTCTTCTGCAAACATAGGCTGTATCATTTCATAAAATTTGTGAAATACTGTATTTTTACATATTAAGTTCAATCTTTTGTAGTGCAATCTATAGAGCACGATACATAATTTAGATCAAATATTGTGTTAATTGAAGCTCTAAGTTGTGGAAAAATTAGTATTAATTAACTTAATATTTATTTTGTTAAATTTGTACATTTCACAAAATTTCACTAAGTCTCATACTTTTTATGAATACCAACTGATTAACCATTTTTAAATATTCAAAACATAAAACAGTTAAATGTATCATGCAATAACAACATGAGATACCAGTACTTCTTATAAAAATATTAAGATATACAAATATATCACTCAAATGCTATTACTTATTATTTCATAAAAAAATAAATTAAAGAAAACATTTTCTAAATTATCATTGATTCTTTTTGAATAAAATCAAAGTAAAAAAATCTATCCCCATTGTAAAATTCACACACGTTGTTAAATATTTAGGTTTTAAGGTATTTCATGTTAAAATTGAAGCACTTTATAATTTCATAGACAAAACTGTATACCAATAAACATTAATATAAAAAAAAGAAGCTTACGTTTCGCATTCTTGAGACTTAAAAAGCCACTCCAATTCTAACATCTCCACCACCAAAAGGGCTTCCAAGTATCTGGGAACAACAGTCTTGTTTTGACATAATATTTTGACTAATTTCACTCTTTAGGAATAAAACATTTCATTTATCCAAGTTCTATGATTACGACAGACAAACAATGTTATCAAATTATATACTTCTGTAAAGTGGCATTGAACTAATGTTTTTTAGCTGTAAAATATGAAAATTCCAAAAAAGTAAAACAATTTTAAAACAAAACAGATACTCATCTGATTAACGAACTCAAGGTAAAGAGAGTCCAGAAATTAATCTTTTATAATTATTACTGTTCTACCAGCTGTAACCCGTAGTTTTCTTCTTTTTATATCATACAATTATGACACTTCTTGATTTAACAAGATTTTTTGTTAATTTAAAAATCATAATGTGCAGCTGGAGAATTATAGACATTGAAAAATTTATAATAAATATGATTAATCACAAACAAAGATACTTTTATTCATAATGTTTTACTGTATCAGCTTTACGAAGAGATACTTGTATCAAACCAATATATTCTACGATTGATCAAGACAGGAAATGAAAGAACAAATTTAAATCAAACAACAGAACAAAAACATTGTAAAATATATAACAATATATCACTCCTCATAACAATATTGATTGACATGTTTCGTTCAGATATTATTGATTAATTTAGTTTTGTGAAGGCGGACAGACGATTGGGTAATAAAGATATAAATAGCATGAGACAGACAGATAATAGCAAAAGAGAATAAAGTTGGTGTGAAGTTAAGTACCATAGAAGTGATAGACCTAATGGCTGACATAGGCCTAACATTTAATATGTTAGAATGAAACTAACAGTAGAAAAAAGATAAGCAAAATCATTTTATCCCATCAAAGCATGGTTCTAAAGTAATTGAATCAGCCTGAGTGCACTTTGACAAAAGAAACAGAGGATCTTCAGAAGATCGAAGACCAAATGATTACGGTAACTCGTGCCACAATTGTAAGTGAATCACAGAGAATACTAGTGTGATAGAAATAGAGAAGATAGTTCAGCTTGTCAACTGAAATTCTAAAGTAATTGAATAGGCTTAAGTAGATATTTGACGAGAAGAAGAGAACTACATATATAGTACTTATGATATCTACATAATATCTATGGTGTTGAAGAATTTATTGTACATACGTTAACTTGTTCTGAATATATATATTATTTTGAAAACAAGCAAAGTGTGTGCTGTAAATTTATCATTGAATTTATCGCTAACAAGTCACAGACATCCACTGTAGAAGAATCCTAAGCCCAACAATAACAACATGTATATTTATACTACTAAGAAATATAACTAAAAGCCTTTTTATTTGACAATTGACAAAAAGGAAAGTTATATATTTTTTTTTATTTGAAATTCTGACATTGATATTAGTTATTTCAAACAATAAAAGTACAACTAACAAAAACAAATTATAGCATATATAATCAGCTGTAGTCATGAAATGGAAAAAATGAAATGCAAATACACTCATCTGTTATCTTTATAAGTTCTTACCTAGACAGTGAACATAGTACTAACTATCCAATCAAATTCTTTCAATACCCACATAAAAACTGAAAATCACAGCTAGTTACTTCTTTGTTGAAAAAAATTGTTTTAGCAGTTGACTAGGAATAACTGACAAATGTTGAAGAAAGAATGTTTTATATAAATCCATCTATAAAGAGTGTAATTATGTTGGAGAAACTGGCCAGGATATTCTTCATAAAGTTTCAGAGCATGTTGAGGTGCATTAAACAAATGGAACATAAGAAACAGTGCCATTGCCAACCATTACATCAACACCTAAAATTAAACAACACGTAAACAAATAACAACTATTGATACTTTGAAAACAACCAAAATATTTCTTGTAAGAAAATACACTCAGTCTCTATTAATTAAAAAACACCAACCCACAACATCGATGGTCTCTTCAAAAAATTGTGTTGTGTGTCAGTTTTATCTATTTAAGAATTAGTCATGAATTTAAAGAATGTATGAAATAATGTATTTTTCATAATGAATTTATTTTAAATAACTTAAAACAACACTTATGTAAAACATTTATTTATGAAATATTAAAATTATTACACAATAAATAGTTATTAAAAACAGGGACTTGCCCAAAAAATTAATCAGTATTAGCAGAACGTGTGGTGGAAACATCTCACATTATAAACTAGAGTAATACCAAGTTGATAAAACATGTAAAATTTAAAATTGAATTAAATATTGGAAAAAATATTGAAATTAAAAAAAAACAAAGATATCGTATTAAACAAGTCCAAGTCTAGAAATTATAAAGTACCGTAACTCTGGGTAGTTTAAGCCTAGATGGTGTTATAGGTATGTAAATAATTATGTAGGTATATAAGTCCCAACCTTGCCTTTACCATTACTCCTGAAGATAGTGTCGTGGGACACCAAAACATATGTAGTCTTTTTAGGACAAGTCCCTGTAATTAATAACTATTTATTGTGTAATGATTTTAACGTCGTAGTTCTTTTAATTGTAAATAGAATCTATTTTAGTTTTTCTGGTCCATTACATTATACATTCTATAATTCTTTTTCTTTTATAGTTTAAAATCATTGGCATCAGTATTGTTAGCAGGATAAGTGATATGCAATAGATATTACATACCATTAGATATTTTTCCCTTTTGTTCTATTATTTAAATCTGTTCTTCCAATATTCATGTCTTTTTCAGTCGTAGAGAAAGTGTGTATGATATAACTATCCTTTAAAAAGTTTACATGCAAGACATTGTTAATAAAAATACTTTTTATAATGATTAATCATATTTATTATCATAGTTTTTACAAAATCTTGTTAAGCAAAACTTTCAACTTAAGCTTCTTTAATTTATTCTTTGAAAAACATACATTTAAAGGAACATAATATCATATATTTGCCTATAATGCTCTTTCAATTTAAAAAATGTACCAACATAACAAGATTAAGAAGTTTAATTCCAGTAATACCTTTAATAAACATTTCTATTTAACTTCTGTTCTTTGTATTTATGTTCTAGTTTCCTTAATTATCAACAGGAGCTTCACAGATCACTTTATAAACTACACTTTTGAAAATGATAGATTTTTGTTAATAAACACATAATTAATGTAACATGAAATTTGGTGTTTGTTTGAGCATTGTTTGGTTGCTTTTTGTTTTACAATGTGTTCAGCTCCAGGCTACTTCAGGTTTGTTGCACTCTAAGCCTAGCCTGGTAAATCTAGTGTTAAAAAAATGTTTAATTAAAAAGTAAATATTTTTGAGAAAAATAATTATCTGTAGCTACAATTTTTGAATTTGTTTCCATTGGTAATTCATCACCCACTAGCTTAGAAATAACTAACAAGAGTCTGAAACATACCCAATCAAGTCGACTAAATACTGCGAGGTTTCATGAACAAGTTGTCGGTATGGTTGTTTCAGGCCAAAACTGTGTTTCTGTTATTCAATATAAAATTAACAGTGACAATAATCTAATCCGTATTTAATACAACTGAAATTTTCCAAAATATTATACTTCATGTATTACACTAGAAAAAAAAATCATTCATGCCTAAATTATATATCATTTTACCCATAATTCCAGCTACCACAACTTTAAAAAACATATTGCACATGAAATATTCTTTTAATTTGGAATCAAACTTATACTTTGAAATATATTTGTTATAGCTTATTAAAAGATTAAAACTCATAAAAAAAAAATGCTATTGCAAATTATGTATAAACAAACTTCAGTTAAGTATACATATAAAAGTTCACTGAGAAACAAAACTGACAAGTATTAGATGTTAATATCTTTAAAATAATCAACTGAATTAAAATTAAACAGAAACAAAAGTACAATATCAGGAAAAAATCATACTAAGCTTTCCTTTCAGGAAGTTTTAAAAACATTAAAAATTTGAATAAGTAATGAATCTAACTCTTTCAACACGAGCTCGGTCAATTTTATTATAATATCAATTATATTTATTTTACCTAATCTAATCTTAACTAACCTAAAAT